GAGGCAGTACAGTGGTTTTTATGTTTAGGGAAAATCTACGTGTGGAATTTTATTTGAAACCTCCTAATTTTAAAAGATTGGTTACCAATTAAAAAAAAATATTTAAGCCCCGTGGAGTCCCTCCTCCTTCCACCTGCAAAATCCCACATCCATGGGCCAATGACCCATGACCATCAGTTTTCGGCCTCTGACAGGGTCCAAAGCCCTCACTTTCCAAACAGGGAAATTGAGACCCAGAGAGGTGAGTAATATGTCTTAGGTCATAAAGCTTGTTAGCAGCAGAACTGGCATGCAGGCCTTCTGATTTTTCCAACACTCTCCTTTGGCATCTGAAAGCTACAACAGTTGTTGTGTTGTGATCCCACTGGGATGAACTAATCCTCAAACTGTGGGGACTTTGGACTTAGAGTGGGAAAGGCTCAGAGCCCATCCGTTGCCCCCATGACACCAGCCTGTTGGGGCTGAAGAAGAGACTCTGGACTCTTAGAGCCACATTTGTGCATGTCTGGGTAGAGATGGGGGTGGGGAGGGAAGGAGACAAAAATCACCATCTCCTGTAGAAAAATATGGAAATACCTGTGTCACAATGGTAGCAGTGCATCAAAGCCTTATGTGCTGGAAGAGGGACTCTTGCCCTGCAATCTTTGCTTTAGAAGGTCCCACTCTGGACCCCCTCTGTCATATCCTCCCCATGGGATGAGGTCATGCCCCCACCCCTCCAATAGTGCCAAGGAATGGGTCCACCAAGAGTTCACACTGCTATTCTGGATCACACTCTGGGTACCAAAGTCACAGAATTCTCTGCCCCAAATGCATGGACCCTGTTTCCAAGGCACAGGCCCTATTTTGGATCTGTCACCCTGAGGGTAGACTGTGTCATGTGTATTTGGGGCCCCTGGGCTCAAGCAATAGCTCTTTCGGGGGCCTCACATGAGTGGCTTGGGTGTAGCCTGAGGTAAGGAGAGAAGAGGATGGTGTCCCTGGGGCAGGAGTTGGGATGGAAGGCAGCTTCTCATGCCCTCTCACATTTTGCATTGAACTTTTAAGTGCCCAGGAATCCTGAATTCAAACCTAGCCTTCCAGATGGTTATGAAGGTATATTTGTCAAGGCAGGAGGATTAAACATTTTATTCACTGGTTTGTTGGTTATAACTAAAATATTTAGACATGGAGTACACAGGAACGCTCGCTCCAGCGTATCCCTGGCAGAGATAGAGGCTGACTTGGTGGCCAGGATTTGCTGTCAATCCTGTATCTGCAGCTCTCCTTCGATGAGGGGATTGGCCTAATCATGTCTGTCATTTTATGCCTCATTTTGAAATGTTTCATCCTGGAATGCAAAAGTGTTAAAATGAATAAATGATTGTAAGGGGCTGACTTGGAATGAATGCAGAGAATTGTTTTTTTTAAAAATTGTTCTTTATCTTGGCACACTATTTGTACTCAATATATTTTAAAATATAATAGTTTTTGATAATAATTATAATTTTCTCATTATTTGGAAAGGGCAGCTGCTACCCTGAAGATATCAGTGCTGCTGCCAAGAGCTTTGTGAAAAATACAATGCTTTCTGATTGTTCAAGGATATTTTCACCTTTGAGATTGGCTTGGACACAGAACACCTTTCCTTCTGTGACTGGACCACTTTGAAAAGTAGTGGCCAGAAATTAGTCTCTCATGGGGTCTGTAGCTGACCAATGATTTCTTAGTCTCATCTTGTCTGATAGGTAAGATAAAGCACAAAACCTTGGGATATTTGTTCTGATCTTGGACTTCTTACTCTGCTGAGGTTTGATAGCTACTTAAAAATAGTACAGCTGAGGGGCGCCTGGGTGGCTCAGTCAGTTGGGCGGCTGACTTCGGCTCAGGTCATGATCTCATGGTCCGTGAATTCGAGCCCCGCATTGGGCTCTGTGCTGACAGCTCAGAGCCTGGAGCCTGTTTCAGATTCTGTGTCTCCCTCTCTCTGACCCTTCCCCGTTCATGCTCTGTCTCTCTCTGTCTCAAAAATAAATAAACGTTAAAAAAAATTTAAAAAAATAGTACAGCTGAGTGTCAATGACTAGTTATACAAAAAGAAACCCTCAACTCTGAAAGTCAATTCTGAGCCTGATGTTGGAATCACAACTGCATGGATTTCTGATTTATTATTATTTTTGCATTGTATCATATCTGGCCTAAGATTCTTTATAGTAGAAGGTAGGTGTGAACCTTGGCTGTCCAAGCAGTTCCTGATGAGTTGTGGGTGTGGGGGATGGAAGCAGAATATGAGTGAGATGCTGGATTACTCCCTGCCTCTCAGCTAATTGTATCAACTTTCTCCCTCCTTAGGTCTATCTATCCATCTTTTCTTTCTTTTTCTTCCTTCCTTCCTTCCTTCCTTCCTTCCTTCCTTCCTTCCTTCCTTCCTTCTTTCCTCCTCCTCCCCCCTTTGCCCTCCTCCTCCTCTTTCTCCTCCTCCTCTTCCTTCTCCTCCTCCTCCTTCTTCACTAGGATTGCTTATATAACACATAGCCGGGCTGGGCTTCTTCATTTCCTTCTCCCTCTGATAAATATATTACCAGATAGCAAACTGGTTTCAGGAGAGCCTGGAGAATTTGTTACCTTAATAATCACTCTCTAAGTAATATATATTTATAGTCTGGTTTCCTCATCAGCAAAATGAGGATATCATACCCACTCCATGGAGTTACTGTGAAGATCAATAAAATTATATATGTAAAGGTTTGGCAGTACTGATGATTTGGGCTGGATAATTCTTTGTTTGGGGGACGGTGTTGTCCTGTGCATTTTAGGATCTTTAGCAGCATCCCTGACATGTACACACTAGTACCAGTAACACTTCCCTTCACCCAGGTTGTGACAACCAACCAATGCCTCCAGACATTGTCAAATGTCATTTGGGTGGCAAAATTGTCCTCCCAGGTGAGAATCATGACTCTAGCATAATGCCTGGCACAAGCACTTGAAGTACTGTGGCTTTTATTGTTAAAGGAGAAGAGGGAATAAGTGAAGCGGTCAGGTAAACTACTACTGCAGAGTGGCTAATGGACTTGGAGATTAGGAGATTACTGGTGACCTCAATAAAGAGTGGTAGTAGTTAAGAATGGATGGGAGGTGAGAAAGTGGAGAAGGCAAGGACTAGAAGATTATGGCTGGCCTTAAAGATTCATTCTACATAACACTACTCACAAATTTTAATGAGCCTTTGATCTTCTTACAAAGTATTGATTTATTTTGGTCTTTATAGTTTATTTTAGCATCTCTGAAAGTGAGTGCATAATATATTTTAAAAAGGAAAGTGACAAAGAGTGGTCAGGTCCCCATCAACTATGACATATATCCTGCTTCACTGATATTCAGTTCCTCAGGGCTGAGCTACCTCATGCCTGGAGCATTTGTGGGGTGCCTCCTTGGCACTTGGTTGCATACCAGGCTTGTTAGGAAGATACTCATTAAGGCTTACAAGGTTTTAATTATTTGTTCCCTTTCCTTAAGGATATTAAATTAGGCAAAAAACAAACACAATAAAAACTAAAACACTTGAGTTCTCACCTCCTTCTGAAGATAGTAGTCATCATCTCTTCTGGTTACTACCACGTGCCAGGCACT